GCGTTGCGCGCTATCGGTGCGTGCTGCTGTGCGGCGCTGCCAGGCGGTGCCTGCTGCTGTGCGGCCTGCCGTGCGTGCTGCTGCCTATGACTGCTCCAGAGTGCGCTGCCAGATGGTGTGCCCATAACAGGATTGCATCTTCTTCTACGTGATTTAACGAAACTGAAATTAACTTTCTTAACTAATTACCTACTTGCCTCTTATGTGACAAAAGTGTGATTTAGCTAACACACACAAACAAGACTTTATCAACTTAGCAGGCTGTCATCTCCTTTAGCCAGCAAGCCTGATGTGTCCCTCGAATCCTCCATCGGTTCACTTCCTGGTTTTCCATCGTATTTCTACCACTTTTTGTTAAATAGTCATCACTGGTTTGGATCTGTGCAGTGAGACAGTATCATGATCATCATTATTGTGGCAGCAACTGGTTTAGTCTCAAGATAAAAAACAATGAATAGTGTTTTCTTTTGAAGGATAGTTTTGATATTTTCAAAAATTTTAAGTTGCACATGTCATCATGTGAAAAGATAATTGACGAACTGCAAACAGTAGGGACTAAATTGATAGTTTTTGAAAATTATGTACTACAATAACATGATTTGAAGTTAGGGTACTAACTTAACACTACCCCTAAAGTATAGAGTACTAATTTGGAATTTTCCCTATTAACAAAATATAAATAATGAAAATATAATACCCATAGGACTATTTTTGAAACTGAAACGGTATTATCAATTTATAGAAAACTGCTAACCAAATTAACCGAATGGAAGCCGATTGATTAACTAATTAAAAATACATAAACTGAACTAAAGCCAATCCGTTAACTGAAACTCCATTGTGTAAACCTGAAAAATAAAGTGAGGCCTGTCCCATATATACTTAAAATTAAGAATATTAAACTTCACACCATAACATGAGTGAATTTGGATCTTCTCACTAGGCTGACCACACCCTGAGCACACGACACTACAGTCATACATGCATGATACACATATAGTACATTTTTCTCATTAATAACAACAAAAAGTAGACAACATGCTCCCAATGTTTGACTGTGATAATTAAGCAGATTCAGACTCAACATGAGTTACATGGCCATGTTTACAATGGAGGAGAAGATCCAAATTAATGTCAAGTCAACAAAACCAACGAGTGTACAATTAAATCCTCTATAGGTATGTATATTGGCCCATTATTACGACTAGCTAGGATTATTGTAGACGATTCCATTTCCAAAACATTTTTTTATTTAACTTCTTAGGCCCCACCCTTAATTGGTTGATGCTTGGTGTTTGAAATGGTGATGGCGGATGGACATGGGCTGTTCGAGTACGGAACAAGCAATTAATTAATGATAATATTGTAGAAGAAATTATACATAAAGCATATTATTAGACAATCAAGATTGACTATTACATCTTCCAAACAGTACATAAACCTTACTATAGATATTTATATATTTCCAGAGCTATTATAATTTTATATATATATATTTTATATTGAAATTAAAACTTCAACCCTAAACAACTAAATCATGAATAGCTCTGGAAATTAATAGCGCGCGTCATCGTTCTACATAGTGACAACAGAGGCACTACTTCTGCTCATGCTTTTTCCCCAGCAATTTAAGCAGATCGCCTTCTCTTCTGCCGACAATAGTGCCCTTAGGATCCCCCTTTTCGATCAGAACGGAGGTAGGGAACTCGTTCACCTTCCACGTTTTAGCAATATTCTGCGAGCCATCAGGTTTTCAATTTAATTAGTAACTGATACAGAAAAAACCACAGCTGAGGAATATCGAGTTTATTTATTTACTGAGATGAGATAGATGAAGATTTAGATTCAACACTAGCTAAAACTAAAATCAGACCTTGAGGGATTTTCCGTCGATCTTGATAAAGACCACACTAAGGTATTGTGCTGCAAGCCTTTTCACATACTGCTCGTAGTAAAAGGAGTCTATGTCTTGTGGATCGCTGAAGAAAGCCAGCACCTGAAACACAATTCATTGGTCAGTGAGTGCAGTCAAGCAACAAAAGCTAATCATCAATATCAATATGCAGATTAAATAAAAAAACCCCATTAATTCTTGCTCGCCTCCAGACTTATCTGGTGGTTTTGCTGTTGGACAACTTATTTCCTTAAAGAATAATACAACCAAAAGACTACCTACATCTATCACCCTACCCTGATTCATGAACAGCATATCGATCCAAGTCTTGAAACAATTATACTATGTTTGGTTCAAGAATTAAGTTAATAAAGGAAGCAGGAACCCAAGCCCAAACAAATTAAGCCGATATGATCATGAGGATTCATTCCAGAACCTACTTCTTCAAAAACCTCTGCCTCTGTGTTTTAGAATCTAAGCAAAACGGCAAAAGCTAATAACAAAAGACGAACAAATAATCTCCGATACTATAATTATAAATTAAATCAAGCAGCAAAAATGTAACATCTAAGGGTACCATTTTGTCTTTATTGTGTAAGATTGGTTGAACTGTGCTTTCATCGTAGAAGTTGTAGAGCTTTCCACCTGCTGGTATTTGTACGGAGCTCATTTTCAGTCTAAGTAGTAACAACAAATAACAGTAGTTTCTAAAGCGCAGATGACAGAGCTAGCCAGAAAACTTGTTTGTTCTTGCCCAAACGCTTATGCTCCCGCCCCTTTATATAGACGATTCTTTCATGCCGATGACTACTTTTTTTTTTTTTCTTTTCTTTTCTTTTCTTTTTCTTTTATTATAACTCCAAATGGAGGGGTGAACACCTTATTATTATTATTATTATTCCCACACAAATTACGATTATGAGACATCAAATTCTACATTCAATAAAGAAGAAGGAAGGAAGAGAAAAGAAAGGTTGCAGTTGGGGCCACACCATGCATGAGAAGATTCCACGTAAAAGCTATAAGGAAGAGTAATCAAGTCTTTTGGGCATCATAGATTTTTCCATGTTATAAACTTATAATACACTTTTAGAAGGCTTAGGGTTCATTTGGTTCACAGTTAGATTGGAATCAGCAGGAATGAGATTTCGTTTTCAAGGAAGAAGCTGAAAATGGCCATTTCCTCAAATGGGAGAATGCCATTCCAGCAGGAATGGGAATGGGATTCCAATTCCACCCAACCAAACAGTTAGAATTAGAATAGCCCATTCCGATTCTGATTCCAGACCCCTATTCCTGCAAACCAAACGGGGCCTTAGTTTGTTTATTGTACAGGTTTTATTTTCACTAGTACAAATGCATGTGACTGTAAGTAGGCTAAGTGTAAAATTTTACTTTCTTTTGCTTCATATATGATATTGTCTCATTTGTTGTTGAAATACAGTCATAGAAATAAATTAAAATAATGTATTCTCCACCTTATATAAAAGAGAATGGAGATAGGAAAAGGATTATTTGTTTTAGAGTGAGGTAAGAAGCAAGGTGATGTGGCCCTATTTTATATTAGAGAGAGAATTGAGGTAAGAGGAAGGTGGTGCAAACTTTGTATAACTTTTTGAAAAATAAAATTTGCATTGCTGGTGAATGAAAATGAGACAAAAAAATATAACTTTTACATCAACTGGGAGTGCAAATCATAACTACAACACAAATAAATAAATGCATAATATGTATCCAGTTCAGATTTATACCACAAAAAAATGAAACTGATGAGACTTAGGCTCCATTTGGAAAGAGTACAAGAGCGTAAAACCATGTATTTTATATTATTTTATATGTATTTGTACTCATTCCAAACTGAGTCTTATGTTTCGTTTGGTAAGAATACAAATGCAAATGTATAGAATGCAAAACCTTGTATTTTATATTATTCTCAGTTTGGAAAGAGTACAAATGCAAATATATACAGTGCAAATTCATATAAAATAATACAAATTAAATATAAGGTTTTGCAGTGTACATATTTGCATTTGTACTCCTTCCAAACTAAGCCTTAAGAAAAATGATCCGAGAAACCATGATATATATATATATATATATATATATATATATATATATATATATATATTGATTCATATGATTACAATATTAACTAGTGGATTTAAGGATAAATTAATATGGTAGAATTCGAACCACCAGTACCATCTCATCTCATGACGTAAATTGACAACTCTATCCTTGTATTTAGTGAAATTAATTTCTTATATTTAACAAAGTGCTTAGAGACGCATGACCACAACCTTGACCCCTTTAAAGTTTACATGGCAAATGACATGAGAGGTCGCCATTGGAATCAGCCTTCAATATCATCTTCATATCTTGCTCTTTGTTACGTGTTTCTTTCTTCTTTTTCATATAAAAAAAAGATTCTCCCCATGAACTTTTTCCAGCGTACTAGACAGCCAAAAAAGAGAAAATCGATCACATATAACTTTGCTAAAGATGAAAATAGTCATCCAGCATATATAAACGATAAAATGAAAAACGAAAAAGATGAAACCTACAAATTAATGGCATAATATTCCTGTCTACCAAAATAATGGGCCCCAATTAAACAATTTAGCGAGGAATAACTTTCTGGCCGGCTCGAGATATAAAGCAAGCTAAGGCAAGGCAGTGGTCCAAAGAAAGAAAAGAAGAAAGGAATGGAGAGGCTTGAAAGGCAACTTCCCAACGTAACAACAACCATTTTAACTTTCGGTTCAGATTGGGGTTGATTTTTGACCAATGAATAATTTTAATGGAAGGTGATTTTTGAGTTTAATGAAAATGGATGGAAGAAGGAATTTGCCCCGTGTGTAGGTAAATGTGGGAGTAGGGAGTAGGGGTGCAATCGAGCTGAGCCGAGTCGGATTTTGGCATATTTTGGCTTGGTTCAATAAAAATACTATTAGGTTTGAATTCAAGTTCAAGTTTGATTCAAATTATATTTTTTGGTTCGTGTTTGGTTCGATTAAAATATTCGATGAGTTTGAGTTTGATTTAAAAGCTTGAAAATGGATATATTTTTATATTATATATAATAAAATTTTTATAATATATAATATATTCTTATATTATATATGAAATACATAAAAATATATATTATAAAATATATTTTTACATTCTATATGTATGTATGTATTAATTGAGTAAGGTTCACAAGCTTTCGAGATGAGCATTTTATTAATTGAGCTCGAGTTCATATAACTAATCAAATTTACCTCGAGGCTCGAACTTGATTCGAGATCAATTAGAATTAAACTCAAATCGAGCCTAATCAAACTCAAGCCCAAATTATTTGATTAGAGCTTGGTTCGATTGCAGTCCTAGTGGGGAGGGAGGGTTCAAATCGGCTTCCTATAGGCCCTACACATGCCACAGAAAATTTTAGTGTGCATTGAAAGAATTTGGATCTCATACCCACAAACTGTTCTCACATCCATACCTATAGGGCACTACGAGCATGTATTAGTAATATCTCCCTTGTCAATCATGGGGAACTGATGCTGCTCGATTCAAGGTGGTTCTTGAATTGAGGTCGTAGTCAGATAATACTGCTAATTGGGCAAAGTCGAGGTGGAAGGACGAAGCAACACTTCAAGATCTGAAACCAAGAAAGTTATCCCCGGGTAGGTACTCTGACGCTCAAGTTAGTCGAGAAAGGTGGGTGGTTGAGCCAAGTAGTTAGAGAATGGTGTTGGCGGGGTTGTCGGGATAGGGTTGCTCGCCAAGGTCTTTGGGATAAGACCTAATCCCCAGTGGAATTGTCCTCATCCGTACGACATTCTCCTGTCTTGGTCGCGCTTATCCGCATGTTGTGGTGTTGGCGTGGCCGAGGTGATAAGGTGGGCCGCGGAGGTCACGTGGCGTTGATGTGGTTAAGGTGATGAGGCGGCCACGGAGGTGACACGTGGCACTCGGGCCAGATCAACCATAACCCAAACACCACTCTCCTAGTTTCAAAGTTGAGGAGTGTAGTGCTCGGTCGTGGTGTGACATGGAAGAGCTCTTCGGTTCTTGGTTGAGGAACTCGAGTCTGAAGTTGGTTGAGTGTGCCCTCTGAGTGGAGGACCTTGGGATTGACAGGTTTCTGAGCGGACCGGCTGGTTTGAAGCTAGCGCCATGCTGACAGAAGCGGTGTTTCGCTTTCCCGAGGTTACTCATACGAAGGTCAATGGCATTGTTTCGTCTTCTCGAGCTGTTAGAGGGCGGCGTTTGATCCACGCCATTGATCTTCCCTTGATCTGGATCGTTGGGAGTCCTATAAAAAGGGGGGAAGAGCATTTCCCCTTTGTCATTTGCGAAGCTCAGCGAGAAGTAGTATTCGATTACCCGGTGTTTGCTTCAGTTCCACGGTCCTAACTTTCGAAGTTCAGTAAGATGTCTTCCTCGTCGACGGACTTCTCCCGATCTTCTTCTTCTTCCGCTTCCTCTTCTTCCGCTTCACTTTCTGGTTCTGAGTCTGAGTCGAGGCTTCCATGCTCGATGTTCCTTAGGCTGATGGCCATGGGGCTGAGGCTGAAGACTTTGAGGCGTTCGACCCTGTGTAGGTCGCTGAGTGGGAGGCTAAGGCCAATGAACTGAGGTTGAGTCGTCGGCTAGGGAGGAAGCTGCCCTTCCATTGCGGGCTGGTTGCCAATTTGGGACCACGCCGTGCTGTTTGACTCCTGGGGATATGGCTTGAATCTGGGCTCTGTATTGCATCCCCGTAGAATATGAACTTAGGTGCCCGAGGATCGGTGAGAGGCCCACGAGTGCTCATTTGGACAAGCTCTGTGTGTATGAGCACAACCTAATGGCCGGGCTAAGGTTCCCATTATACGAGGGGCTGGTTGACGTGTTCAAGTGGTACTAGGTACTGCCGGTGTAGCTGATGCCTAACTCGTTTAGGCATTGGATTTAAGGATAAATTACAATATTAACCATTGGATTTAAGGATAAATTAATATGGTAGAATTAATATGGTAGAATTCGACGTGTTCAAGTCCTTGATTGTGCTGGTTATTCTGCTTTGGTCAGTTAATGTTTCTATTCTGATACTTGGTTTCTTTTTGTAGAATGCTTGCTCGGTGATCGCGGTGATTGACCTTCTCCGGTTAGTGCGATGCCTGTACGAGTCTATTCACGTCGAGGTTGAACGCCTGAGGGATTAGTTAGCTGAGGTTGAGGTTGGTGTGCGGTCGACTGTGCTAGAAGCTGAGAATGTTGAGCTGAAGCGTGGCATCGATGAGCGGTTCGAGACTGTCCGCAAGCTAAAGGGGCGCATCACCAAGCTGAAGGAGGCATAGGAGAGGCTAAGGAAGGAGGCCGACGAGAGGGAGGCCTGAGCGAAGGAGGAGGTAGTTGCTCTGTTTAAGGGCTCCAAGGAGTATCAGAATGAGATGGGTGACTTTGCCGCACGCTCCTGGGAGACGGGGTTCTTCCTTTGCTGGGACAGGGTCTTGCGCCAATTCCCTGACATTTCCGAGGCCGTTCAGAGCATGGGCCCTTATGATCCTGACACCAGAGTCGAGGATAATACTGTTGCCGTCGACGTGCCCAAAGTGGCTGAGGAGCACCCCACCGAGGACTGAAGCATTCACTAACCACTATTGCTGCTGCCCTGTTCTTTATTTTGCTCTTTTGATGTGTATCTTTTCCTTTTTTTGTTGATGATGTAAATGGCTCGGTATGCCAAGCCTTTATCTTTGTACAAATTTTTTGACGATTAATGGAAAAGACAATTTT